AAAAAAAAAAAAAAAAAAAAAAAAAAAAAAAAAAAAAAAAAAAAAAAAAAAAAAAAAAAAAAAAAAAAAAAAAAAAAAAAAAAAAAAAAAAATTACGTGTTTCCGTGAGGCACTGGGAGATTGGAGATTGCTGTGCACAAGGGGTGGGCGACGAGCAGTCTTCTGGGTGTTTCGAAATGGGCAGAACCCCGAACATTATTTTATCCAAATCTAGTTCCATCAGGAGTCGAACTCATGATCTATATCTTTTTATCAGCATGTTTGTACAATTCAGCTCCATACATGTGTGTAGCATTCAGCCCCACGGGCTGTGTACCGCTGTTGTTGTGATCAGTGGGTAGGAACCTTGTTGAGGACTCTGCGTTTGTGTCGGAGGGTGAGACTATTTTGTGCTGTCTAAGCCTTTCTTGTTTTTTTTTCCCCCCTCTTTTTATTTCCCTCGTTTTTCAAAAGGGCGATGGCCTTGAGATATCATCGTAGAACTGGCGGCCCAGGTAATTCAGAAATTAAGTATTGTTGCATCTCATTCATCTGGATTCTAAGTCAGCTCTGCATTTGGTGTACCAACTGAGCTACGTCCGTTCGTGGTGCTTTCTTCGTTGTGAACGTGCTGTGAAGAGAGATGCTACTTATTTGTTGTCTAACTAGCGGCATACTCGCCTTATCAGGCCCTTATGACTTTTTTCTCCTGAGCTCTGGTCGTTATTGCAGTCACATTCATCCAGGTCCGGGCGTAATTGCAGCCCAATACATTTAGGAAAAGTACAAGTGTGAGTATGCCCTCCGTATGGAAAGGCAACGCGGTTTATTGCTTTGTCTGTGCTTTCTGGAAAGAGCTCAATGATGGTCAGGCAAGTGAGTTGTAGCTCCTGATCGGTTGGTGAGCAGGGCCCTGTTGCCAGTGGCAGCCAACAGCCGTCAGGCACATTGAAGAGATGGGGATCTGTCCATGTTTGGGTCAATTGGCCGTTGCGGCCTCTGTAACTCTGATGGACTTTGGGTCAATTGGCTGTTGCGGCCTCTGTGGTTGCAGATAAGGCCCAGGAGGCAGACAGGGACAGACAAGAAAGAGGAGAGAGAGAGAGAGGGGTTCCAGCAAATCGGAGGGGAAATAGTCCATGGGAATGTCTCATAATTTTGCTTTTGTCACGTTTTGTGTGTCTGTATTGAAAGTGGAGAGAGAGAGAGAGAGAGAGAGAGGTTCCAGTAAATGGGCGGGGAAATAGTCCATGGCAAGGAGACTCATTATTTTGCTTTTGTGTCTGTATTGGATCATCTTTCTGAATTATGCAGCGGATATACTGTCATATAGTCCCAGAATCGGGGAACAACAACCAGCCACAGGTGAGACAGAAATTGGTTCACGGCCTCCAGGCTTTTGAGAACCGAAAAACAATTTGATTCGTTTTTTTTGGAAACTGCGTTGTAATGATTCTGCCACTTCTTGTGGTGTCCATACTGCTGCATACCACAGTGCATAGTGATATTGCACTATTCGAAATGTCTGTAGCAAAGATCAAAGCTGGCATTCTCACTGGTTTGTGAGTTTGGATTGACTTCTGAACACACTTTCCCAAGGGTTGAAGTTTCTTCTTTTTTACCACATTGCCTACTTTATTACCGAATATGCTTTCTCAATGGCGTCATTATTTTCATGCTACTGTAACAAGTCGGGGGGGAGGGGGAAGTGAGGCCGGGGACTTGGGAGCTGCTTTATGCACCCCAGAAATAAGCCCCCCTCTGCAAGCCTAAGGGGGACGGAGCCATATGCCAGGGCTCCCTTGTACAGTAGGGTTCAGCTTCCCCCAATACACATTGTCGTGGAGGGAGAGTTGCCTTGCCCCCCCCCTCGCACCCCCGCCTCCCCCTTCCACCCCACCCCCTACCCCAGTTGGAGCTTGTCATTTCCTGGTTTAAACCCCTGGTACCCTTTGAGGGGTTGGCTTTCCTGGCCCTCATGATTTCTCAGAGGTTCCGGAGGATAGACCATCACTGCTGGACCACCACACATGCAGTGGGCCTCCTTGTCCCATCCTCGATACTTAACCTCTGTGTAACCGGGAAGTGGGCCGCTGGGCCTTAGGGTATGGTAGGGTATGGTAGGGTGTGGTTGCTTTAATCAACTGACCGCTTGAGAATGAAGCTTCCGGATTCACAGCGTCCTTGAGTTCCACCCTCGCTTATTGAAAACAGAAGCTTCCTTCAGTTCATGTCATACATATTCAGTTGTCTCCAGGCACAGAGCTGCTAGAGAGAGAGAGAGAGAGAGAGAGAGAGAGAGAGTCTATGAACAGCTACAAGTGGTGTGCAGGGTTACACCTCTTTCTTACTTAGTCAGTGGTGGACTACAGACAAACGAAATGATTAATTACGACTCCGCGTGTTTTTTTGGACAATGTCTGTTGCAGCATATTCTCTTGTTCGGCAACTTTTCTGAAATGTTTTTGCTCATTTTTCCATTTTTCATTTTCCATGCCTTGTCGTCTCTGCATTGGCGCGTGTGAAAATGTCATCCCTGGGCCCGCTTGGCGGCTTCCACCAGTTCACCCATCTTGTACAGTGGCTGTACCAGACAAACCAGGCAGCATGTGTTGAGGTACCTATTCTGTCTCAAGCCCAAATGGTTTCTTTGGATCAGATGCTTCTTCGGACACTGTATCTTGTCGCGCCAACTGCGGCAGCATGTGTGGCGCTCGGTTTTTCTGCCAATATCGACCCGTGCAAGACTCTGCTAGGTTATATTTCTCTCTGAGGAAAGAAGATGAATCGCCTTCAAGTTCTTCAACATCTACCCGGCGTATCCGCGTTATTTCGTCATTCTTTGAGTGCCCAGATCTACAGATTTCTTTCAGTCTGGAGGATTCTTCGAAGCTTCATCTTTGCCATTGCTTTCTTACATTCAGTGAGGTGTATATGCCCATTCCGTCCAGACCTGTTTCTGCGTCGCGGTTGCCACTTTGTGTGTGAGAACTCTGGTTACGCTCTGAGGTATCACTGCAGCTCTCTGCGGGTGATGATGTAGATCAAGCAGATACATTGGCTGCATCCATCCTTCATCATCTGTGAGCCTGCCTAATTATGCCTTTGTGGTGGCAATGCAGTTGAGATTCTGTCAGCAATGATAGTCCTTGAGTGCGGCGTCGAAAAATAAGCTTCATGGTCCACAAGTTCACCGGACTCCACGCGGTTGGTTGCGCCAGGTTCCCATCATCAACACCTGTTTGTGGGCAGTGCCTGCTCAGCGAAAGCTTTCACGCGGTTTGATTCTACGTCATGGTAACGAGTTGTGAGGGGTTTCATCGACAACTGCTCATGAGTAGCGGTCTTTGTGAGTAGCAAACCGGCATTGACGTGTGCCACGATCTCGCCCTGGCATCGATAGCAGTGGCCAAGGCGATCACGTGATGTCTTCAAGCACCACATCACGAGTTTTGAGGGCTTTCATCGACAAAACCGCTCCCTGGTAGTGGTCCTTGCCAGTTTCAAACCTGCGTAGACTCCGATGTGTGCCGCATCTCCTCCTGGCATTGTTAGCAGTGACCGAGGCTATCACGTCATATCTTCAAGCACTACATTGTGAGTTGTGAGGGGTTTCATCGACAACCGCTCACGGGTAGAGGTCCTTGCCAGTTTCAAACGTGCATAGACTCCGTCCGATGTGTGCCGCGATCTCGTCCTGGCATTGTTAGCAGTGGCCGAGGCTATCATGTGATGTCTTCAAGCACTACGTGGTGAGTTGTGAGGGGTTTCATCGATGAAACCGCTCCCTGGTAGTGGTCTTTGTGAGTTGCAAGCCTGCATAGACACGGAGTTGTGCCGCTCTCTCTCCCTGGCATTGTTAGCTGTGGCCGACCGAGGCTATCACGTGATGTCTTCAAGCACTACATGGTTACTTGTGAGGGGGTTTCATCGACAACGGCTCACGGGGCTAGTGGTCTTTGCAAGTTGCAAGCTTCCGTAGACACCAAGCTGTGCGGCTATCTCCCGCTGCCATTGTTAGTGGTGGCCGAGGCTATCACGTGATGCCCGCAAGAATACCAAATGCGATGTTGCATATTTTCCACATGCAAGCATTGCAGCAGGTGCCTCCACGTAAATCCAAAGCCTGCTCTAAGGTACCAAAGGGCCTCCTCGCCCGATTATCGGTGTGCACTAGGCAGCAGGCGCCTATGTGTCCATCATTGGACACAATTCTCTCTTCAGGGACAAATTTTCAACTGTTTTCCATGTTCCCGTCCAAGCTAACTTCCGTAAGCTGCAGCCCCTTTGCAAGGAGGTGCACGTGTTTCGTAAAGAGGGAGTGCAAGACATTGGGCAGTTCGGGAGAACGGTAGCAAGCTGCAAGGGTAGGTGGTCTCATCAAGCGTCAATGAGGCTGAGCCATCGAAATCTTAAGACCCGGTGGTTTTTCTTTTTAATCAAGGCGAGGAATAGAGTTGTGGTTCACATGAGAGCTAGCTCGCTCAAGGCCTTTGCTTGCTATACCCTTGCGGTGAGTGCTTCAAGTTAACAAGAATGCTTAACTGTTTGTTCCGACCCCTCCCTGCCGTGCGCGCCGTGTTTTTCCCTCCTTACAACTAAGTGGTGGTCCCCTCTTTGACTCACCGATTAAGGGTAGAAATAGGCAAAAGACTCTAAAAGAGTGCACCGGATATTGCGCCAGCGAGTGCTTGAAGGTTGGGCTTGTCGTAAGATCAGCGATGATAATTCTTTACTGCCAAAATTACTGGTGTGGCTGTTGGGTAGTTCCATCTATTAGTCGACCATTCCTTCCGGTGTCTTCCAGTGCTCCACTTGAACTTCCTCCCAACCAAAGCTTCCTTCCGGCCTCCGAGAAATAATCGGGTTGTGCTCCTGCTAGCATTAAATATTGATTGCTGTCTAAGGGTGCAGTCACACTAGCTCTATCTTAAATGTATCTGACGGCATTTACGGCCAAGCCTGGATGCGTCCGACCGCAATTACGTCCAGAAATAAGTACAAACGTCCTGGTGCGAGTATGCCCTGAAGCATGCCAGCAAGCTGGATGGGCATGTATCCCGACAGTGTGATTCTGATTTGCCAACGGTATGGGGATCAAGTCCCCTCTCCTGAAAACAAGGGCTGTTTGCTTGTCCCTCCGAGCGGACATGTTTGTGATGGTGATGAAGTCGTCTCCCGAGACGCGAGGTGAGTTCAAAGGACCAGTACACAGCCCCATCCACATTGAGAATCACGATTGAGCCTCTTTGAAATTTCAGAGGCTCGGGACAGGGCGTCCGAGGGACCTTAAGGAGGGGGGGGGGGGGGGGGGGGGGAGAGGAATTGTCCCATGCCATAGGATGGCACCAGGCCCAGTCCTGGACCGAAAAAAAAAAAAAAAAAGGTTTGCCCACCCCTAGGCGGGCGCTGTCCTAAGTTCCCTAACCTTTCGGAGAGGCTCATTCGAGCTCTCCGGATGTACTGGTGGTTCGGCTCCTCTTCTTGAGCTTCTTCAGCTGTTTGACTTTTCGTCTGACTCGGCTCTGCAACCCAATGGTACGTTGGCAATTGAAAATTCTTGTTTCACTTTGCTTCTATCCCTGGACTCACTGGGTGGGGGCACCTCTGTGATTTCCGACTTTTGACACCGAGTAGCTTCTGTAAACTATTTGTGGCTTTGTTTTTTTTCGGCCACGAGCGACGTCAGTCTGAAAGCAAAAGCAGCTCCTGCCTGCAGCAAAAATCCAGGCTCCGCTCTGCTTGTCTTGAAACCACTGCAAGCACAGTGTTCATTATTGAGAGAGGCAGAGGCAGCAGCTTTGCCGTGTATGTTTTTTTTTTTTTTTTTCATGGACTAACTCGTTCAGGAGTTGTATGTGGGGTGATTGGGGGTTGTATTTGACCCTTGTCTACCCTCAGGAATGTGGTGATGAAGTAGAGTCGTCTGTCCAGAGTCGAGAAGTAGAGTCGCACCATGTTACACAGCTGCAGCAGTCGTTTATCCCTCTCCTACGGTATGATATCCATTTGCTCCGACTGGACTCATCAAGGGATTTGGTATTTTGTCCTCCACCATGCATGGATGGCTCTCAGGCCTTCTACCTGTCCGTTCGTGGCTCCGACGTTTCTATCCCGCCATGCCCACTCCCTCCTCTAGGACGGTTACGAGAGAGAACCGTTTGGCGCGCTGGCATTCAGTGCGGTTGAGTGCACAGAGCCCACGATTGATGTAAAAGAATGAGCCAAGGAGTTGAAGGAGGGACTGGGCCAGGTAGGTCTGCTAAAAATCCCACGACTAGCGTCGTCACCCGAATAGAACGCCCGGTCATTATATCTGTATTTGGCACAACTTGCAGTCCAGGTACGGCGATGATTACCGGGCGTTCTATCCGGGTGAAGACGCTAGCCACGATTGATGTCAAGAACGAGTCGAGGACTGAGTTGGCCAAGTAGGTATGCTCATTATATCCGTATTGGGCACACCTTGCAGTCCAGTCACGCCAATAATTATGGGGTGTTATATTCGGGTGAAGACGGTAGCCACGATTGATGTCAAGAATGAGCCAAGGATTGAGTGGAGTGGACCGGGTGGGTATGCTAAAAATCCCACGACTAGCGTTGTCACCCGAATAGAACGCCAGGTCATTACATCTGTATTTGGCACAACTTGCAGTCCAGGTACGGCGGTAATCACCGGGCGTTCTATTCGGGTGAAGACGTCAGCCACGATTGATGTCAACATTGTCAAGAATGCGTCGAGGACTGAGTTGGCCAAGTAGGTGTGTTAAATCCCTTTGGCTAGCCACAATCGGTGTCGACGTGAAGTAAACGGGCCACCAAACCTCGGCATCTGCTGCACTGAGGAACGGTCTGGTAGGGCTAGTCCGGCGATTTTCAAAACTACACGATTCTGGTTCTGGGCATTCACCATCAAGAACACGGGGCGAGGATTGTTGATAGTTCTGTGCATGATTCTTTGGCGCACTGTGCGTGTGGCTGCAGCGGAATACCATTGCGCCATGAAGTAACGGGCTGTCTACGTTGCGCAGGTACACCCCGACACTGCCGACAGGGCTAGTCCGAGGAACTCCACACTCCACTTGGCTGGTTTAGTCTGTGCCCCCGCAATAAATTAGTGAGGCTTGCTTGCTGATTGTGTGTGCATGCAGCTCCAGTAGAAAGCCTCTGCATCATGCAGGATTGAGCAATGCACCCACCATCCGCACTTTGCAGGTGAAACGCCCGGCAGGGCTATACCTTATTCCCCCAAACACAACACCTCGTCCTTACAGCGTAAGATTTTAGTGCAGCTTTCGGGGCAGACACAGATATAATGACTGGATGTTGCGTTCAGGAACTTCAGGGAAGAAGGTAATCTGCGTGGGAATTTCACTGAATGTATGACCCTTGACCCACAGGGCTGGTTCAGATCCTGGCGTGTCAAGAACGCGCCCATGAGTTTTGTAATCTCCTTGTGCATGTGCAGCTTTGAGTGGAATCCCTCCCTGTTGGGACGCACGCTCTCTTGAGCGATTGGTCAGTCGACTCAGTTCCTTATTGGGCAGCTGCCATTTCCAATGGCCTGCATGGCAGCTATTTGGGCATGGTATCATTTACATAAATAGCACGTATGACTAGCTATACAGGGAACAAAGGCGACATAGAAGTGAAGCTTGTAACTGTGTGGTCATCCTTAACGGCTAGATACTATTCAGTGTTGAAGAGATTGCGTTGTGGAGAGTGTGAGGTGCTGTAGAGACTGCCATGCACTCTTGCTAATAGTCAGTGTGTGGCCATATAGGTAGCTCTACGATCCTTGTGATCTACGATATTCTTCAATCTGCAGTATTCTGCAATCAAGTTCCAGATATCTGTCTCACATCAGGGTACTGTCTACTCTCATCTCAGGTCTGGCAACAGTGGGAAGAGAATCGCAGTCATGTCTACAAATTCTGGAATACCCAAAATTCGATTGGGAGTAGAATGGTGCATGCACGTCCACAGCCAGCCTGCCATGCCATAAACTGCATGCACCAAATCTCTCTCTCTCTCTCTCTCTCTCTCTCTCTCTCTCTCTCTCTCTCTCTCTCTCTCTCTCTCTCTCTCTCTCTCTCTCTCTCTCTCTCTNTCTCTCTCTCTCTCTCTCTCTCTCTCTCTCTCTCTCTCTCTCTCTCTCTCTCTCTCTCTCTCTCTCTCTCTCTCTCTCGCTCTCTCGCTCTCGCTCGCTCTGTGTGTGTGTGTGTGTGACTTGGCTCTGTTGGCCTGCCTTGCCTCGTTTGTATCGCATCATCTGCCTGTGTGTATGCTTGGTCTGTTTGTGTGCCTGTCGCTTGGCTGCTCTGATCAGTGTGACAAACACCTGTGAGCTTCTTGCGCATCCACATGTCCAATCTTGTGCCGAAAGGGGCAAAATCTAAATGACCTGTCATGCAATGTTATATTGGATTTGTCCAAAACTGAAAATCGAAAATTGTCAATTTCATCTCCGCCTCCCCATCTGTCATATGTGTTCCAGTTTTCACTGCAAAACACTCCGACATACGCACACATAGACGTTTGCTTCAGGTGCCGCCAGGTTGTTGGTGACCTGCACCTCTGTGTTCTCTTGGAACTGCTAAGTGTGACCTCTTATGGATGCATATTATACTTTCAGGTCCTTCACTACCACCGAGCCTCTTTTTGCCGAGGCGAAAAAGAACTCTGCGCCAACCTTTGCTGAAGCGGCAATGCAACCTTTTTTTTCCTCCCTTGGGCTGGCGCAACCAGCATTCTTGGTCCGATACCACTGTTCATTCATCCGAAGATTCGGGAATGATTCATTTTTGTGTTTCAAGTTTGCCCATGAAACGTAGTGGCGGTTTGAAAAAACTTTAAAAAAGAGAAAAAAAAGTAGTTAATGAATGTGATTGGTATCTCCCGTGAAGCAACACACATCGGAACTGTAAGAGCCATTTTGCTTAAGGGCGCCGTTAGACACTCCTTTTGAAATCCTCGGGCAATAGGAAAAATTCCTAATGGTCCAAAGGGAAATTTGGGCCGTGGCTCCACCTGTCCTTGGGGACGTCACCCGAGGACGTTCCCTAGGAACGATGTCAGAAAAGAAAAAAGAAAAGGAAAAAAAAAAAACAGTTGTGCTTCAGGCCTTCAGCCAATAGGGTGCCGCCAAGATCCAGTGTCTACGGATGTGCCCTCTCCTCTCCGTGAAACGCGGATTCATTGTGCCCAAGGGACCGCGGACCGCACGAGTTCCCTTGGGCAATAGGAAGAAATGGCTGGGGAAAGTCCTATTGCCCGAGGAATTTCCTTACAGTTGTTTCGCTTTCTTTTTCCGATTGCGTCCCCGAGGATAGGTGGAACGAACAATTCCTTGGGGATTTTGTGTACCCGACGAGTGTCTAACGAGCCCCTAAACCACCAGTACTTCCTGAAGTCGTGCCCGTATACAAGCCACGATCTCAGGAAACGTACGGACCACCACAGGAGCGCCCAAATTCATCCGACTAGAAATGTTTGTACTCTATTTTTTTCCCGCGGCCGATAGCTGGGCCAAGTACTGGTGGTTTAACAGGGTTCAATTGACTGCTCTCTTTTCTTGGCCACCTTTAAACCACCAGTACACGGCCCCAGGCAACTGGGGAACTTGTTTTGAGCCTATCCTAAAATTTAGGAGGTTGAGCGCCTTAGATAAAATGAATCGGCAGTGGGTGGCCTCCGAGAGGGGCCCGCTGCAGATAGCCGTCATGTAGTGGTACTTTAAACCACCGCTACCTCCGAGCCTGTTTTTGCGGACCCTGATTTTCACTGCGCACCGAGTTTTGCCGAGTCTGGCGTCCATTGTGTTTCTTTTCTAGTACTCTTCTGAAAAAGAAAGAAAAAAGCACGGCCAGACTTTCAAAAAACGATCTACTCACGGCCACAAAAAAAGAAACAGAAAGAAAACGAACACCCCTCTGGACATGATACAAGGTTAGATACCTGCCCCAAAGTTGTTGTGCCAGTATGCCGTTATATTGTATCAAGATTTTAATATTTGAGAATACATCAGTTACACCCCTCTGGACATGATACAAGGTTAGATACCTGCCCCAAAGTTGTTGTGCCAGTATGCCCTCAGTGAGGGCTTTGCGGCAGGGCTGTCAGGTCCACGGAAAAAGAGAAGGAATAAAAAATGAAAAACTGAACTCAGGGCGGGAAAGCGGGTTCATAAGTTGTGGTGTAGAAACGAAACAAAAACAACAGCAACTACAACCTGAAACTGGCAACAATCGTAGTTAGATACTTTCTTGTGAGTATCGATGTGAGCACAACTTCGTGCACAGCCTTCCTGGAATAATTTGTAAATCTCTGTTCTAATGAAGTAGATAGTTCCGCTCCAGCAAATTTGTTCATAAATTTCATGCTCTCTTCTCACCCGGGATTACATTTTTTTTTTATTAGTTCTATCCATCTCCAGGGACCCAAGGACTCGAAAAATCAAAATAACGAAATTCTAGAGTCATTTCAATAGGCTCAGAAACTGGGTCTTTTGTTTTTCTTTTTGCTTTTCGAAGGGGCCCACAGCCTTCCTGGACTGGGTCTTTTGTTTTACTTTTTGCTTTTCGAAGGGGCCCACAAGGCCCAACTGCGGAGCCTCCGCTTACCCCGGAAAAGTTCGGAGAAAGTGGGAAAACGGCCACGTTTCCCATTTTTCCCAACACTGGTGGAGGTAGTGGTGGTTTAAACCATTTGGTCTGGGTGTAGCCCCTAATATTCTTCTGTCTACAACCATTATGGAAACGACTGTCGGTCATAAGGAATGGCCCAGATGACTGGCTGCTTGCGCGAACGGACTGCCTGGATACCAGGTCCATCTGCCAAACTTCAGATTGGCCTGCGATCTGGGCCGTCAGCGCAATATGATGATTCGCCTACACATTCCACCGCGCAAACGACACAGATCACCGGCCGGTCTGGGAGGAGTTTGTGAACGAGGACGGACCGGCCTAGAACTCAGCTTGGTACACCCGTGAACTGTTGAAACGCAGAGACGAGTTCTAATCCTGGTGACCAAATGAATGAAATGCCGTGTATTGAATTGTGTGAGGCCCTGAGCCGGTCAACCACTCACATCAGCCTGGCATCCTCTTTCATGATCGCTGGCAAGAGAGAGAGAGAGAGAGATAGATAGAGAGAGAGAGAGAGAGTGAGGAGGGGGGAGAGGGCGTCTACCGCTACATGGACCGTCTTCATCTACATCGTCTCTCTTTACCTTGGCCCACCTTTTCCATTCCTCCACCTCCCCCCTCCTCCCCTTTCGTCTCTCGGCATGCTGCCATTTTTCCCTTGATACCGTTTATGCCCAGAGAGAGATCAAGAGAGTCTACCCAACCTCCTACGCCTCCACTCACGGCCCTCCTTCCATCGTCGACCATCTCCCACTTACTTCGCCATCCTTTCCCACCTGCACCTGCTCACCTCCCACTACCTTTCCCCATAGGTGAAAAGAGAGGGAGAGTAAGAGGGGGGAAAAGGAGAGAGAAAGAGAGAGAGGAGTGTTATTGCCACGTCGATCTCATGCACTTTCTCCCTCATTCTCCGCCCACCTTCCACCACCATCTTCTCCTGCCTCCACCTTCCACCACCATATTCCCCACCCTCCTCCCTTCTCCCGCGCCGCTTTCACCTCCTGCCTCCTCTCCTTTGTTTATCTGTTCGTAGAAAAAAGAATTACCTACACACACACACACGCACAGAGAGAGAGAGGGAGCTGTAATGTCTTTTCTAAGAGTTTTTGTATTTTGTTGGCAACAAGTGAAATATCATCTCCCAAGTGACAAGTGAATCCATTGTTTGCCTCATGAGAA